TAGGGGGCGGCGAGGCCACTGAGCCGCTCCTGCCCGGTGAGGTAGCGGCCGTCGGCGGTGCCCGCGCTGTGCCGGAAGGACGAGACGTTGACAATGCGGGCGGGCGCTGATGCCTTCAGGAGGTCTGTGCGGAGCAGGGGGTGAGCAGGTAGGGGTCCCTGGACCCCCCCAGCCCTGTCAGCCCCCTCACTCACCCAGCAGCAGGTTGGTGAGGAGGAATGGACCTAGGTAGTTGGTGGCAAAGGTCCGCTCCAGCCCCTCAGGCGTGATGGCAAAGGGCAGCCCTGGAGGAGGGGAGCACGGGGTGCTGTGGGGCCAGGAACTGGGCAGGCATCGCTCACCGTAGCGGGACAGGGAGGTGGACCCCGACCAGAGCGAGGATGGGAGCAGCAGATGCCTGAGCCCGACCCCTGTGCGTACCAGTGAGGCCAGCATTGTTCCCCAGCACATCCAGCCGCTTCTCCTCCCGCAGCACAGCCTGGGCAAAGGCACGGACGGAGGCCAGCGAGCTGGTGTCCAGCAGCCGCAGCAGCACTGCGGGGTTGCCAGTGGCCGCACGGATCTCCTCCCCCGCCGCCTGGCCCCGTTCCCGACTCCGGCATGCCAGGATGGTGCGGGCGTTCCTGCGGGCCAGGTCCAGGGCCACACACTTGCCGATCCCTGTAGCACATGGAGTGGGTGCGGGCTAGTCCCCACCATGTCCCCACAGCAAGGGGTCCCTGGGGGTCTGTGTCCCTGTCCCCAGGGTCCAGGCAGCCCTGGGAGCAGGGCAGGGCAATGGAGGGGGCCCCTGTCCCAGGCAGCTCAGCCACTGCCAGGAGCCCAGCACCGAACCCAGGGTGCCCCAGCACTGGAGCAGGGGGTTGTCAGTGGGGCAGAGTGGGGCAGGTACCCTGGGGCCAGGCTCCCTGCTCTGCAGTGCAATATGGCTGTGTGGGGATGGGGACAAGGCAGGACAGCCACCATGGGGTGCAGGAAGGAGCTGGCAGTGGCAGCTCACCACAGCTCAGTCAGTGGCTCAGTCCGGGCCACACTGGCAGGACAGCTGCCACAGACACCAAAACCACCCAGATGTGTTATGCCAGCAACGCTCCGCATCAGTGTTCCCACATGGTGGGAAACAACAGATACTGGGGGTGGACACCCAGCATATGTGGGGCCACCCTGTACCTGCGGACACAAGGGGACACCCCAACCCTGACACATAGTCCCCCCTGCCCCCAGCCCCGTGGGTCCCACTGCCCCCGGCTGTGCCGGCCCCAACCCCGTGCTTTGCAGCGGGATGTGGGTGGGAGCAGCGACCCCATCCCCTGCGTGCAGCTCCATCTCCGGCGCAGTGTGGTGCCCATGGTGGCTGGCAGTGCAGTGGCATGGGCTGTCAGTCATTAACCCGGCCGGGGCAGAGTCCAGCCGCCGGTGCTGGGCCGGGGCTACGGGCACAGGGCTGCCGAGAGCACAGTGAGGCAGAGCTGTTACTGGGCAGAGGATGCCGGCCGGCCGGGGCGGCTCGCTGGGAGCCGGCTCCCAAGCATGCAGTGCAGTGGCCGGCAGTCAGCGCAGCGCAGAGGATGTCTGAAGGCACCCGGTGTGAGCATGCTGTGGGCACCGGGCGCTGGGATCGCATTGTGCACACCCAGGGACCAGCCACCGACCACTCCTGTAGCCATTTGCACTGACGCAGGGGCTGTGGTTTGGCAGCGGGAGAAGGGGGACCTGTGTTCCCTGTTGGCTGCCCCACAGCACCGTGCCATCATGCCGTCACCCACACACATGCCCCTAGCCCCTTCTCCATCCCTGGGAAGCGGGGAGCTGACACCTGCTCCGGCATGAAAGGAGGGTGGCTGGGTCCCACAGCCAGGCAGGACCCCCAGCCCTGCAGCCATGTCCTGCATCTCCCTGTCCCCGCGGTCCTGCACCCCCCCCAGGCCCACACCGACCCCTGCAGCCCATCCACTCCTGCCACCAGCCCCGCTCACCACTGTTGGCT